GATCGAATTTCGTCGCGATCGTGGTTCGAGAGCTTTTGCGAAATTAGCTTCTGTTTCGTTGCTTTTAACTCCGAAATAGAGTACCCATCGGAGATCTCGGTGAAACGACGCGGAGATTTCGATGGCCAGTATGAAACGCACGTCTTGCCGTTTAACTGAAATGATACGTGGGAATTTATGATCGCTGGAAACGTCGAGAACGTACAATAAGTAATCTTTCCTGGTTTTTGTTGTCAGTCAGTTTTAATTGGTCGCTGATTCCTGAGGTTCCTTGTAGTCACTTTGTTCTTGGACGGCTGCCAAACGCCGCGAATTATGGTCGAGATCGTACGAGATTTTAAAACATAAACGGATTATGGTTGCCGTGGCAGTCCCACGCAACTTTAAATAAATCATTCCCAATTATACGTTAATACAATTAGTCATGAAGTCCATATCGTAAAACTTGCACTTATTAATTTGGAGATTTTTACTGAAATTGGACTTATTAACTTGCACTTATTAATTTGGAAATTTTTACTGCAATTTTTACTGAAACATCGCGATTATTTGCCGTTTCTTTCATGGTCGAGGCTGCGACAGGATTATTGAAAAAATCGTGTTTCGATCAGTTTCATTTCTTTCAGGTGAACCCAGAGCTTCGAATGTTCTATTGAAACTTAAATTATGCGAACCAATAATTTTGGTCGAGAAGCTTCCAGAAACGATATCACATATGCAGAAAGAATGATTGAAACGTGCTTCTCGCTGTCCGTGATTTCAGGTTTATCATGCCACTTTAAAACTAATTCCGCGGTGTTACTTAATCGCAGGAAAGTTGCAGTCGCGCCGAACTCTTTCCACTGTAGTCACGTTCTCTCATTTCAGCTGTTCTGTTGCATTTAAAAATCAGGATTTAAAAGTACTGCTTTTTCTTCCTCCTGTCTTAAACATTGGAACACCTAAGAGCCATCCTGATATATATATATATATATAAACGAAAATAGCGATTAGATACTACTCTAACAGAAGAAGCGCTACAACGAACATAGGAAAATACAATAAAAGTAGAATTGATGGCTCCTCCCCCCATTCCTCCTCTTTATAATTTTTATAAATTTACACATATGTTCAATGCGTAAAATGTAAAAAATAATACATTAAGTTTATAGTACGTGTATTTTCATGTTCTCATATTTTTCTGTTTCATGTTAAATTCATCCTGCTTTGTGTGAAATTATTGTATTCGGTAATAATAATATTTGGTAATGATATTCGGTAATATATATATTATTATTTATATATTATTTCCGAATATTATTCGGCACTATTATTATTATATATACATAAAAATCGATATATCCTATAACGAATGAATGCTACAACGCAACAGATTCTAGAACGAATTAGTTCCTTTTAAAATGCATACAGAAATATAAATTTGTTTTAGAAGGCCTCGAGACTGAGATGCAGTTAACATTAATCTTCCTTGAAGATCCGCAGTCTATTAATAAGTAAAGAGCGTTGAGTAGAAACCGTGGTACAGGATAGCGAGCGGTCTGGCGTTCGCAAAAAGATAACTGCTGATGTGTCAGTCACGTAGCAGCGGCATCGTTAACTGTCGCAGCGTTTTCGCAAATGGGAACGATCTCGGTGGATTTCGGAGGAAGATACGGTTATTTATTGTTCTGAAGATTTCAGCCAGCTGTGGATTGTTGCCTCATCTCTGGTGGTCGGTCTCGCGCTGGTCCCACGGGTCCCTGGACGGGGCCCATGGGGTATGCGGAACGACGGCGCGGCGGCGGGGCCAGGGAGCGACGGATACGCGAACACGGAGGTCACCATTGACGCAAATCCATCTGACGGTCACGTGACCGGCCGTGCTGGAACACAATACCGTCGCAGACCCGCGCAGACCCGAGTAGACCCGCGGCGAGCCAACTTTCATTAAATCCGCCGCGGCCCGCGCCAGCCCGCGCGTGCACGTATGCGTCGCAACCGAGGGTCCCTGGATCGGCCGGATCGTTGGATCGCGCCGGGAGGATCTGCTGAAAAACGCGGCCCACCCACGCTACCAAATAGTCACCGGCTAACGAGCAACGGATCATGCCGTTCCTCGAATGACAATCAGCTGGCGAGCGAGCGCCGATTTTCTATTTATACGCTTAGGTGAAACAACTGTTGTCCTAATTTATTTAGACGTCGATCACTGTTTCGAGACTTTTTCGGGATACGCGATCGTGGAGCACCTTTGAGAAATGAATAACTTTCTGAACGTTGGACTAAACGAGTCGAATATCTTTTTTTGAGTCGCTAGGAGAGACTGATTTGATAAGAAATACGTGATAATAGCAGTTGGATGAACGATAAAGAAAAAGAAAGATATGGTCGGATATAGAAGGCTCGAGAAACGCGATTCTTTTTCTTTTCTTTTGTTGCAACTTTTGCGAAAATGTTTTTATGCATGCGTAATACACTGGCCCTTCTATCATCCAACTTTAGAAACGTTGTGTGCGTGTTCCGTTTTAAAAGAGACATGTCCTCATATTATATTATCCCCCAATTTCTCCACGACCGTGTTTCTGCCTAATGTCTGAAATCTAGTCAAGGTTGTTGCTTTTTTCATCTTTTCTAGAGAGATCGGAACAGTTTCTCGTGCCGATCTTTGGCACGCGCGATTTCTATTTTAATTTCTTTTTAATCGAAACAGTTCTACTTGTACGTGCTTTCCCGATGAGTTTTTAGTCACACGATTCCAAGCGTTCTGTGAATTTGAGACAAGACGACAGCTCTTCTACGATAGAAAATGATCTCAGTTTCTTGTGATATCGTTTCCTGAAAGTGATGAGATTAGCCGTATAATAAATGACGAAACTGCCGAGGAAATGCTAGAAGGTTGCACTTTGAGAATTCGAATGGAAGATAGATTGAGGAAGAAAGCCGTAGAAGCATCTATTTATAAGCGGACACCATACTCCGACGAGTTCTCTCATTGTACAGAAGTGAATAAGAATTTCATCGGATTCCATCGCACTTCTTCGGCTAAGAAATTTGTCTTAGCTAGTCTTCGATATCGAAAACAGTCATTATTTTTATTAGATTTCACTGTTGTTTATTTCCTGAGTTGCTTAATTCTTGCCTCGCTATTTAATTAGGATCGGAGGCTTTATCCTAGTTAACAAAATACATTTTCGCCATTTTCGAAGCTCACGGAACAAGCTACGAAGAACTGAATTTGCACAAAGATCCGCGGTCTGATTTCCAATCTATGATCAAGGGAAGAAGCCGACTCTTCGCGCAACAGATGGAGAACGTAGTTTCCCACCGATTAGATTCGTCCGGCTGGCTTGCGTCCCTTTGAATACGAAGCATGCGATGCTGTTCAGGTTCGAGGGGACGACGAATTCGCTTGGCAAGAAGATTATCGCGGTTCGCGAAAACCGGATCGTCCGTGTTCCCGTAAAAGGAAGAAGCGTGTAACATCATCGCTCGGCCGTATTTCCTCTGACATCACAGAAGCGTCGGGTGACACCTGTATTCCCTGTAAACCTCTCAAAGGAAGCCAAGGAACTTCACGCTTTGGTAGCTTCGATAGTTCAAAGATTCAGCGTTCTGTATCTAACCCGCCTTGGCCTCGACTACGGCTTCCAAATTGAAGAACTGCTTGAAAGTCTTCGTCGATAGGTAATTTAGCATCGATAATCATACCTTTTCACGTTTGCTAAAGCGTTTCCGCTAATCGCAATATCCTATCGGATTGCAGAAGGTCCTATAAATTTAATTCTCTTTCTCACGATAATTCTTTACCGTCTTTAATATTGTTTGAAAGGGAGAAGAACCGACCAATTTTTGCAGAAAATTTTATTCAATTTATCACGCGCAACACTACTCGATTATTCATTATTTCTCTGTTATACTTCACTTGCACGAGACATCGCCAGAGATTTCAATATGGCGTCGCTGGTTCACGCTGCTTATTATAGTAGCAAATTGGAGAACAATTATATGTAATGTTCTCTCTCTCTCTCTCTCTCTCTCTCTCTCTCTCTATCTATCTATCTCTGCGGTATAATTGAAATGACAAATTGATAAATGTTTTTTATCCATCCGTGCCCGTTATGTGTTCTCCGGTTCTGTAATTATGGTACGATCCAGCTTGATTAGCAATTGTAATATCGACGATGTTTTCTGTATTCCAACGAGAGAGTGAGTGAGAGAGAGAGAGAGAGAGAGAGAGAAAGAGAGAGAGAGAGGGGAAGGGATGCAGAAAAACGGACGATGTTCATTTGCTACGGGTAATCTTATCCTTATTCGTGTTGATCGAACGCGAAATTACGGTTGTTGAGTAATAGCCTGGGCAAATAGATGTAATGATCCAATAGCCCACGCATAAATTTCTGCTTTTTGCTCGTACGTGCGTCACTCGGCGCAAGAAAAGAAAAATGACAAGCAGATGGTGCAGAAGAAGAGCCCGGAATGATGAGCACACTGCTCCCCGGACTTTCGTTCTTTGTTCAACGCGAGACTTGCCGGTTTTTGCAAAGGCCGCTTGCGTATGTGGTCCGGTACAAATATACAGGGTGTCTAACAGCTTGGCTAACTCTCTTCTCTGAGAGAAAGCTGGGAGGATGTTGAGACTCAGAGCCACATTGCAAATGTTAAACGTAGCAGAATAACATCTCCGCGCACAAATATTCATAGTAATTCTAAGCAACGAATTTCAAGCCTATTTTGTAGCATTTCAGAATTGATAGCAACAACATTTACACATGCACGCATGAAGTTGCTAGTTCTGCCATCAGTTGTGGCACGTTTGTGTTAATTAATATGCAACGTGGAACTCGTATCATCGCAGAAATTAACCCATGATCTGCTCGAACATATGCAAACGAAACTTGAGAAGTAGATATCGTTGGGAATACAGTATCGTTGCTTGCATAAAGTGTCGCCTTTATTTGCACAACTAGATGATAGTGAAAGATATATGTATGAATTCTAGGCCAAGCGAGATAAAACCATGGTTTGGAAAATATATTAAGTGATTTTTATTCTGGAATATTTTATAAAATATCTTTTCCGATACATAATTCCATTAAAAATAATATAAGAAATCGGTGTGCGACATTATAAATTTTATGTTAATATCGTTTATAAAACATTAGAAAAATAAAATCTACTTCTATGTACAATTAGATTTGTCGATATACATAATATATTCATTCGGATTTTAGATCTATTGGGCTGAGGATCCTTAACACGTATTGTAGCATTTTCACTGATTCGTGTTCCTGTTTTTTATCGTCTAGAGTTAGAAGCGTGAGCCTACCCAATGCTTCCTGAATGCTTTGCGAAAATCCAGAGCTCCGCGCCACTAATTTTCCTTTTTGATTATTCGCTATCAAAGACCATAATATAGAGCCTGCTACCTTGATCTCGCTCACAGAACCGTTTTTAAATATGTCGTGCAGGACATTAATGAATTCAACTGTAACGTAACATTATCGATCAATTTCTGCATCAAAAATCGCAGTTTGAATATTGTAATTTTTTTATTTTTATTTCTTCATACCTGAGCTGAGTAATCGTGGCCTATTCGCCATATTAAATGCCAGATTTCGCAGTATGGAAATCGCAAGGATTCTGCTAGACGACGAAGAGCACTTTGATAATTGCAATAAAACGTCCAGACCGTCGACAGCCTGAAACATTAATTTCAGATATAATTAACAATTAAAACACTTGCTATAACTTTTGTAATTTACCTTCGGTACGCATGCTTGACCTTCCTCGTAAAAAGTGAAATCAATTAAAAACTCCAAACAATAGAGTTCAACAAGTGGCCATGGTTTCGTCCGTTTCGTTGTAATTGGATGTATTTTTGTGAAAAATTGCAACAAATTGCTCTGCAAGATTTCATTCGATTAATATTATTAATACTTGAATTTTATTTCTCAATCTTACCTTTGATATCGCTACTCTACATTCATGAACGTGTACTGCATTTCTAAGAATGTGAAACGCGAAATGCAGCTTGTGATTATCAAACAATCGACCAGCTTTGTCGATCTCTTTGGAGACTAACTGAATAACAACATGAATCAGAGCAAGAGTATTGGGCGTTCTCCTGAGTCCTGCTCCAGGCAAGATAGTTGTCAACGTTAACGATTGCGCCGCTGTAACATACAACAAATTAGTATAAAAGGGCTTCCTAATCGATTTTTTGACAGTAGTAGCAATTTGAAAATTACCAGCAGGACATTTAGTTGTGTAGGTTGCAAGCAACTTTAGAGCAGTGGTTGTTACAGAATTGTTCAATGCGATCCAAACCCACAACTTGTGCAGCACATCTGCCAATCCACATTTCGTCAGAACTTCCTTCACTTGTGTGTTGCCATACATAAAGTTCATTAATAGTGTGAAAATGCCATTGACGTCATGTAATAGCGGGGGGGTCTGTGCAAAAAAATAAGGAAACTTTTAATATACAAACGATGCTGGAAATCCATCTGGCATGCACAAGTGATCATCGATAGATGTTTTTACAACGGCATCGTTGGAAAACCCGTCAACTTAGCATAGTAAACTAATAAGAAAAAAAAGGTCGAGTAAATAAACTATCAGGAACCAATTATACAAATATACTCCTTGTAAAAACAATCTTGCAAGAAATATATAAAGTTAATCACCTTTCTTTCGCGTTCCATTTGATTTTTGAAAAGCTCGAACGGCTGCAAATTCAGCCTAACATACAGCTCCTTCAGTATCATCAGTATAGTCTCCGGTAAATTCTCTTCTAGTGCGAAGTTTTTGGCTGTGTTCGACACACACAATAAATTAGAAAGAGCGCCTGTTATCAAATCTCTGTCTTCGTTTAATTTGCGGTTCTTCGTCGACCGATTGTAATTATGAATAATGAACAAATGTAAAAATATACTGCACAATTCTTCCCCCATTAGGATTTCCTTTTTCTCGAACTCACGATCCACTGCTTTGTCAAAAACCAAAAGAATGTCTTCGCTTTCTGGTGACTTTTTCGCATGTGCGTTCACGTTTCGCAAAGAGAGCTTGTTTATGTCTGATATGATCTCTCTCAAGTTGTTTCTGCTGTCGCTTGAAGTTTCTATTAAAGTGGTGTCTATTACTGTTTGCAAGGAGACGCTGCTTTTCCCTAAATAGTCTTTTTGAATCTCCAATGAAAGGAGAAACGCTAGACAACCGATTGCACTCATGCGAAGTTCCACATTAAGGTCTTTTATTGCAGTGCAAGTTGATAAGAGCACTGCAGTCGGATCGGATAATTCTAGGGCTGCTTGTATTGCTTCGAAATGCTGATTTTCAGTCAGTGAAAGCACGGCTATGAAATTGAAGATCTCCGTCCATAAGCGGTTTTTCAACGACACCAAGTTTGACGAATCAGTACCTGTATATAAGCTTGAATTAAAAATTTTCTTCATCAATAGTTGTACAGTATTATTATCATTTTTAGCTTACAATATAAATCATTATTCAGGAAACAAATTAATGCATGAATAGAGTCCGGAGAAAAATTAATGAGGGTAATATATTCGTTGCTATAGGTGACGCAATTCGTTAGAACTGTGCAAATGCTGATGTACATTTCCAAAACATCACAATAGTGTGACAAATTCCTTTTGCTGTCGATATCTTTGTGAATTTCACCTATACAACTGAAAGTATAAACATATAGCGAAAATTCTGTAATAATTTTTTTCTTCTACATATACCGTCTTACCTTAACAAATATTTGTCTATAGAGTGCTCATAAATTTGGTGAATGATCTCTTGTTTTCCTACAAATATCAAATTGTTTAACAATCTGCAAATTGCAGTTATTAAAGACGGTGTGACTACTAGCTGGAGGCAGTTGTCTGTGATTTCTGATCCTCTAACTGAAACTAATGATAGCGAATGAAGCAATTTTATTAAATTTCTAAAGACAAATAAAACATTGAATATGATACATACAAGGTTGCATCTCATCTTGGCAATTATACAGATAAGAAATTGTACGTGGCACCAATGAAGTGCAACCGGACTGTACACTGTGAACAGATGGTGTAGCTGCATTGTCTCGATCATGTTGGTCCATTAAATCGCAATCGAGAGTAGTGTACATGTAAACGTTCGAGCACAAAACACTCATTTCATAGTAAGTGTTGTGTTGTTCAACGTATATCAAAAGTGCATTCGCTTTCAAAGAGTCCACCTGGTTGAATAAACGATCTGTTATCTCTAATTCAAGATTGCAATTTATTTCAAATAAAAGCGGTCGATCTAACATTTACTTACATACTGAAATGGTAAAGAATTGCAATTTTTCACTAAATTACTGAATGCAAGGCATGCTTGTTCTCTAACTATACACGACTCATCGTTACTGAGAATATATTGAAGTAGTGTCTGGCACAACTCACTCGGTGCTAATGCTATGGTAGATAAAAGTTGAGAAGCAGTATGCACGTTATTTATCAAACCGGCAAGTAATTGCAAAGCGGATGCCTGGACCAAAGAATCTCGATTTTGCCATAGCATGGGCAGCCAGCTTAATGAGCGACCTTCGTCGTACCAAAATGCTGCGAAAGCCTGAGAAAATATTTATAAAAATATCTTACTTCTCGAGACAATCAGATATATATATATATACAGGGTGTCCCACAATTATTTTAACAGCCGAAAATGAGGGGTAGCTGAGGTCATTTGAAGTAACTTTTTCCTTTGCGAAAATGCAATCCGCGGCTTTGTTTACGAGTTATTAACGAAAAACACTGGCCAATGAGAGGTGACGGTGCGAGAGAGAGGGTCCGCGAGAGAGTCCGCAGCACGAGGCTTTGACAGAAGGTCGGAACGGACTCGAGCCGCGTTCGAAGTATTGAACAAGTCACGAAGCGAGAACTTTCCGGATTTTTTAACTACATAACAGTGATATTTTTAAGAAAAACGCTGTTCACCTTTACTTTAGAACGTCTGAAGAATATTCACTAATTTTTCGGTCTCGAAATAATATGTAGTTTAACCGTGACAGTCGTTTTAATTTTCTGGTGTGCATGACACCTTATGTGTACCATATGAAATTTTTATGCAAGGTGTACAGTGAAGATTAACAAAGTTCGTAAATGATATTTTAATTTAAATACTTCCGTGTACGAACAGAATTCAACGAATGATTCGCAAAGCTGATTTAATAATAAATAATCGCGTTAAGGTACGTAAAGGATTTGTTTTTTAGAGAAATATGAAAAATATTATCGATAAGAAACTCACCCATTTAGTTGAGGATGCATTTGCTGACTCGTACGTACTGACCTCGTACAACGAACAGCTGATCCCAGGTCGATGACCGCAACATTCGAGGGATACTGTCGGTGGAACCTCTGGTATGGTTATTTGCGAAGTTCACTTACACTGCACTGTCACCAAACACTGATCAGTTATTTAATCACTGATAATCCGAATCACTTGTGGATATTTAAGAAAGATCACTGAGACTCGTTCGCGGATAATCGTTTATTCGACGCGTTCGTTCGGAAGTCGACGTTTCACTGCCGAAAAATTCAGGCCTTGACTGTGGGTCCTTGTTGTTCTTCGTTCGGCCGTCCGAGGAAATGACACTCGATACCATTTTCTTCGCACGGCCATTAATTACGTTCTAAGAGCGCAGGGTGACAGCGGGTCGGACACAGTTTACGTCTCGGCATATCTTGTTTATTTCATTTGGCGGTACCCTGCGCTTCGAAGAAAATAGTATCGGGTGTTATTTCCTCGGACGGCCGAAAGACGAACGACAAGGGCCCACGGTCGAGGCCTCGATTTTTTGGCAGTGAAACGTCGACTTCCGAACGAACGCGTCGAATAAACGATTATCCGCGAACGAGTCTCAGTGATCTTTCTTAAATATCCACAAGTGATTCGGATTATCAGTGATTAAATAACTGATCAGTGTTTGGTGACAGTGCAGTGTAAGTGAACTTCGCAAATAACCATACCAGAGGTTCCACCGACAGTATCCCTCGAATGTTGCGGTCATCGACCTGGGATCAGCTGTTCGTTGTACGAGGTCAGTACGTACGAGTCAGCAAATGCATCCTCAACTAAATGGGTGAGTTTCTTATCGATAATATTTTTCATATTTCTCTAAAAAACAAATCCTTTACGTACCTTAACGCGATTATTTATTATTAAATCAGCTTTGCGAATCATTCGTTGAATTCTGTTCGTACACGGAATTATTTAAATTAAAATATCATTTACGAACTTTGTTAATCTTCACTGTACACCTTGCATAAAAATTTCATATGGTACACATAAGGTGTCATGCACACCAGAAAATTAAAACGGCTGTCACGGTTAAACTACATATTATTTCGAGTCCGAAAAATTAGTGAATATTCTTCAGACGTTCTAAAGTAAAGGTGAACAGCGTTTTTCTTAAAAATATCACTGTTATGTAGTTAAAAAAATCCGGAAAGTTCTCGCTTCGTGACTTGTTCAATACTTCGAACGCGGCTCGAGTCCGTTCCGACCTTCTGTCAAAGCCTCGTGCTGCGGACTCTCTCGCGGACCCTCTCTCTCGCACCGTCACCTCTCATTGGCCAGTGTTTTTCGTTAATAACTCGTAAACAAAGCCGCGGATTGCATTTTCGCAAAGGAAAAAGTTACTTCAAATGACCTCAGCTACCCCTCATTTTCGGCTGTTAAAATAATTGTGGGACACCCTGTATATATATATATATATATAAATTAACTTACAGTTTTGCTGAAATTGAGCTGCATTTGGTATAGCAACTGATTCAGGCAAATTATGGAATTTCTAGTTATGGATAAGCCCATGAAGCTAACTGTTCCAGCACCGTGGAATGATATAATCAATTCAATCAAAGTATTTCCTAGTGATATTAATAAATTTTTGTAATTTGCCCAGTGGCATTTTCCAATTAAATATGTTAAACATGTTAACAGCCAATCAAGGTATGCTGCAATAAATATATGTTACTGTTTACATTGGGCTAAAGAATTATGTAACAATTAATGGAGCAAATAAAATTCACCTAAATTATAAAAATGCTGTTGGTCTCCAAAACATAAAATAGAGACTACGAGTTCGATAAAGTGAAGCCAAACATCTTCATCTTCTTCAGTGGATTTTTCAGGCTTCTCTATGGCTGAGCACGTGCGTGCTAACTTCAATATCGATTGATGAACGTCTTGATTGTCCAGCTCTGAATCTTTAAACAATTCTGCTAACGATTTTGTGATGTGTTTTATAATCTTATTGGCCCATCTGTTTTTCCCTATATTTACAAAATCGTAAAAATGGTAAGTAAAAAAGTATAATTCTCGTTTTCTAAAATTCTCGCATACCGTTTTTTGTAATGTTCGCATGGAGCTGTAAAAAGTTCAAAACTTCAACGAACAGTCCACGGTCCTCTTTGCTTGCCGGATGAGAGAGCAAAAATCGTTCAAATGTTCGTTCCCAAGGTAATAAACTTATGTCCTTGATTTCCTCATACTGTTGCAATTTGTAAAATTTTATGTATCTAGAAAATAGCACGGTTAATGATAAGTGGCAATTACAAGAGGTATAATATTAAAACTATCAATTACATTGTGAGATAGTCAAGCGCGCATGCAACTGCAGTGTGCGTGGTAGAGTTCTGTATGTTGTACAATTGCTGCTGGCAATAGTAATGGGGAAAACTGAAACGCAACGTCATGAACTCGTTTTCTTGAATTTTTAACTTTTCCGACAAGTTAGAGTTATTTAGGTCACTCCAACTTTTCCAAAGCACGTTTAAACCGTCATTCCATTCCCATATCCAATACTGTTTAATAAAAGTTGATGCCAATGGATTAGTACTATGAAGGACTATAAAATATAAAAATAGTTATTTTATTTACAGATTTCATTGTTATTCTTGAGATACGTAACAACATTCATTTACCAGATATATCCGATCGCCTGTGCATACTTATTTTCCAATGTGATTTACAAAGAAACGGTAATTTCATTTTGGATGTGATAAGATGCGGCAACGACATGTTTAATTGACTATAATTTTCCGTATGTTTTTCACTCAGCCTCATGATGTGTTCGTTGTAAAGTAATAAACATAAAAGTTTCGAACCATCGGTTCTAATGCATTCATTACTTGGAAATAGAAAAATACCTGAGAAGAATATATCAGATAAATAATTGTTCAAATTTTCGATCTTCTTTTAAACATATTTTTGCAATTTATTTCACGTACTCCTGATTATATTTGAAAGAACATTTATTTGGATAGACAGATCATAGCGTACAGTATTTTCAGTGGATACCAATAAATCCAAGATGGTGATTATTGGAGCTACGGAATCTGGATAATGAATGTAATCCTTTTCTACCTAAACATCATCACAGATTATTCGTTGAATTTTCTTACCTTTTGTATCAAATTAAGCAAAATTAAATTTACCAGTGCACTATTAAATATCTTCAAGATCAATACCAGTCCATTTTCAGTAATAAATAATTTATGCAAAGAGACATCCGACAGCATAACACTAATTTGGACCAAAGCAGACTTTCGCATTTTCGGATCAAGATTAGGTGTATTTAACATTTCAAGGACGGACAATAAATTACTTCTCTGTAAAGTCGATTCATTATACATATAAAATTGTTAGCAGTATAAGGTTTTTAAAATAAAGAGTCAAGAATATGTAACCTGATAATTGCCTGTTGATTTTCTAAGACATGATTGATGTTCAAGTATACAAAGTGAATTAAGAGGTAAACCGTGCAAGGACGAGAGACGTGGCAATTTTTGGACAGAATCTTTTTCTTTTCCAAGAAGCCAAATCAATCTGCAAACTGCCTCTTCCCTGATATCGCTTTCCGATGAGAAAAGATATCTTAAATTACCCTTAAAGACCTTTAAATTAAGAATATATTGATCAAAATGTTACATTAATTATATGCAGGATATACTTCTGTATAGAAGTTACCTCAATGTATGGTAACTGTATACTGGAGGACACATCAGGATCAAAGAGTTTCGTCACACATTGTCCTAATGCTGTAGAAGGATGAGCATGACATTGTAAAAGAGGCAATACTGGCACAATGGTTTCTAACAATCTTAACCACCCACTCTCTCCCATCTGAACTCTTCCTTTTAGAATATATACCAATATCTCTTCTGATATTTCTTTGATCTAACATAAAGATGTTAGATATATTAATTTCGGTAAATTATGCTTCATTATACTAATAGATGTTCATAGAATGTAATCTCTTACTTTTTTATCGTCGTTTGTTACACCATGAGCAATAATCTCTGTTAGAACTGATGGTTCAAATAAAAATATTAAATTTTCCCAGGACGATCTTTCGCTGTTATAGTTCACACCCAAAGTATTGCAGACCAGTGTGTGACACTCCAAATAAGTTGTATATTGTATATCGGTATCTGCATTTGCCAGTAAACTCAATATTAATTTTGTGGCCAACGTGTGATCTTCGTTGTTGAGAGAATACCTTCAATATCAATGGAAATTAAGACATTACAGTTAACTTCTCATGTTTAACATGTTTTGATTTACGTACCTATGTATGTTCTGCAAGAATTTAACAGTGGTTTTAATAATATAGAAATTTTTGTGATAAGACAAACTTAATTTCGAAGCATACAACGTTTTCAAAGTGTCTGAATGAGACAAATCTGATGAATTTTTTATCAAGGATATGGCTGCTTTCATTGACTTCGCTATCAATCGTGTTTCGTCGAACATTTTAATGTATGCAATTTCGTCACTCCCTTGAAATTGCTATCAAAGCAAAAGTAAAAGTAAAGCAAAAAGTAAAGTAAGCAAAAGTAAAGAATATAGTAATTTTCTTTTCAATATTTCAAAATGGCGATTAATTTTTACTTACTCGCCCATATTCTTGTAACACAGTGTGCAGTCTTAAATACAAAAAATATATTGGAGCATCTAATATAGCTGTACAAATCGACGTTTTCAGTGATTGAGGAAAAACAACGTCTGCTATTTCTAACGGAACGATATTACTTATAAGTTTCATCGTAATAGTCACAAGATGTAAGTACGTTATTCTAAAATGATCTATCGCATTGTAGCTTCCAAAATACTGTACAACATCCCCTAACATATTAAACAGTATTTTCAAGTCTTCAGTAATTTTCATAGCTACATCGTCATTGCAGAGCCAAATATTCGGCATGATGCTTGTGATAAGAAGTTGTACTAATTCATAAGCCAAATCTGTAATATACTTGGCGTTTCTTAATGGAAATGTTGAGTTGCTCGGAATGCTTAATTGAGATATAACGTGTTTCAAGGACTCAATGCAGAAATTTGGTATGAGCATTTGCTGCAATTGCAAAATGGAGTCATCAACGTTGTTTGTTGAGTTCTGACTTCTTTCACTTGTACCCTGAATAAGACATGCAATGTATATAGAAGATTGTAAATAATATCAATTATTTTATGAAATACGTACTGCAGATTGATATGCTTGATAATTAGCTTCCAGAAATCCTCCATCTGGGCTGTCCCTAGTCTCGGAAGAAGAATAAGCATTGCTGCTTAATTTACCTGCTAATAGCTAATGAGCATTGTCCTTGTTAGTATCCTGAATAATAACAGCTGTGCATTTAGAAACATATTTATTTACCTTCTGCTTTTTATTTGCAATACATGGATCACAATAATAATAAATTCTAAGTCTTAGAGATCGTGTTAATTTGTTCAATGTTTTTAATACCATTGGTACAACATCCCTTAAATTCGTGCTTGAGGAATTTGCATTCGACTCCAAAAGATTGTGGAGTATCTGAAATTAGTTTGGATTTGTTAGACATCAATATGATTTTAACATGAAATGATAAAAAGTTTAAAATACCGAGACTATTGCTGGTCTTTGAAGGAACACTTCAGCGGGAAAGTCTTGCATCATTACATTTGTAATAAATTGACATGTGTGTAGTATCAGATTAGTGTCTAAGGTATTGTTTAAAGCTTCTTCAACAGCTGCTAGGACACCCCTGTCTGAAGTGACCAAAGGTTGCCATGGCATAACTAGCCACTTAACACCACCCTCTGTGGTCTTCGATATTGGTGTTCCATCCCCACATTCCAATGTTAAGTCGAATGGTATGGAGCTGTATTTAATTTGATTTAGTATACGATTACTTAATTATCTGGATATTAAAAATGCTTCAATAGAATTTACCCATCCAGAACGGAAGGAACAGAACGATTGTATGATAAATCATGTCCCTCTGTTCCATAGGTTTTGTATCGATTGCAGTCGTAATCTTTTATACGTGTTCTGTGTCTATCATAGTCAATAAAACCCATTTTTGGAGAGGCAGAGTCCTAAAAATAAATTCAGAAGAAATTTTAAGGACCTTCTTTTGATTAACTATTGCATACATGTAGTTACTAAGTAGTACAAACCATTGTATCTTCAACAAATATTTCATTCGTTTGTAAATTATTTGTGCTGGCAATAAATTCTTCAATTTCGTTCAATTTTTCATACCATTCTGAACCTAACTTTCTCCTTAATTCATATAATTCATTTTGAAGTCTCAATTTACCAAATACATTCAAGTAACTTTTGTCGCCTGACTTAAAATAAAGTGTAATTATTAGTGATATTTACAATTCATAATCTACGATTGTTAAACACTCCGTTTTAATGTTAAGAATTTATTATCTTTGTTGTACTAAGTACTAAAATAAATATTCATAAAATGATCAAGTACCTTTAAAAGACGTAGTAGTAAGTCCAGAACCGTTTGCGTTCGTGAGAAGGTCTCGAATGAGAACCAATTAAATAATTTCGTTATTAATTCCTTTTTTACGGCATCGCAATCACATCCGAATCCAAGATCGTATTTTGAAATAATATTATCCAAAGCTCTCGATCGAATTTCCTCGAGACTGTGACCTAAAAAAATATTAACAGGTTCTCTATTTTCACTGTATTTTCTTTGGAAAATTAAATTCCTTATACGTACTCAGTTTTTTAACGTGCATCGCCGATATTCCATTCATGTTTGACATTTCTTTAAAGCAGAATTGTCACATTTTAGGTTACCTGCATTAATTTTTAAATGAAATGGGCGCCAAAACAATATCACACTGCCATCTTTCAGTCACGTTTCAATAGTAATCGGTGACTAGCTTGGCCATTTTACCGCAGATGGCGCAACGACCTCTTTTGAGCAATTCAATCATTAAAACGTTAGCCAAGTCAAACGTGTCGCAAAGAATAGTTATTCTAATTTCTAAGTGCCAATTACAGTCACGCGACAAATTTGTAATGAAATGTGATGTGCTATTGCAACTTGCCCTAATTTTTTTGCTTGAAACTGAAGCGGATAAAGAAGAACAGACTGTATACTTTAACAGTACATACGTGTTGTTGGGAGCTAACCTTTTTGAAAGAAACCTATCGCTAAAACTACGATCTCATGAAGTAAAACCAAAGGAAAAGGTTGACTAAAAGAAACATACTAATCCGAAATCCTGATTAGGCGACACGCCAGCTGAATAAGCCCTACAGGATGCTTTTGTACGGCACCTATCGGTTCGAATACGGAAATGCGAAAATGCGAACCTGTACAGCAAGAGGCGCGTTGCACGTCTATCTATCCTATTATTTAAATTTCCCGCGCACGCGCAAATCAGCAAAATATTCGTTCAATCGAATTTGATGCAGTATCAACACGATATAATACGACTTGTTCGAGGAAGAAACCGGATCCATGTTCCGTTTTTCATTTCAGGGGCGTTTTCACCCATAGTTTCTCAGAATTATATTGATTTTTGAGATACAGGACATCTTAAAGGGCCGTTTTTTTTATCTACAATCAACGTGTGTAGTTCAGTGATCTTGGCAATTGCTGGGCATGCATTTATTTTTCAAGACCCGAAGAGTCTACGGCGATGCTGGCTCTTCCCATTGTTATTGTTGTTTTTACATCGGCGCGTTATTGACCGGGCTACAATAGAAATACAAGGTAACAAAATATAACCTCTTTCTTGTTGATAATGGATTTTTTCCCATATTTACACATATGACAGCGTAATATGATCGTAGTACTTTCTAAGAAACAGGTTTTTGAAATCGGATACCTGTACAAGGGTTAAGGACTTCATTAATGTAGAATAGTTATAAATTTATGGTTATGGGATTAAAATAAATGGGATATCTTGATTTATTATGCATCCACTGTACAAAGGATTTTGAAATAGAATTAATAGTTCATCATTTAAAGAATTATAAATTTCTCATTTGTCTATATTTATTTTTAACATTAAAAAAGAAAACTCTAGCTACTTACAAAATATTAACAGTACTTACCTCAACAATTCTTGAGTTTTCAGGTTCTTGTATAGTAACAGAAATGTGTATAAAATATTGAAAATTTCGAATATTACGTTTCTTTTTATAAATAATGGATATTATTTAATCAACTGAAATCTGTAAAGCATAGTGATTCGACGCGCTTTTGTAGAAATTTAACAAAACAAAAAAATGTATTATCTTAGCGGAGAGGTAGTAAAAACACATTTCCAACTTTGTCGACCTATGATCTAGCATCTTATCGATCATTTTCGCAAGTAACTTTTTAACGTATATATGTATAAGAAAAGTCATTGTATAAAACATAGTAGATCAACCGAATGGATCTTTTCGAATTGATGTACTCAAAAATTCTTATTCTCTCATTTACTAATTACTATTCACTAATAATTAGTGAATAGCATATTACTTTCAGAAAATCGAAATGAAAGGAGACGTAGCAAATAAAATTGGCAGGTCGGAGGTCGACAATGTTTGCAGGACCAGAAGGATTTTGAAAGGACCGTTTAATCGTTTCACGAAATTTCAAGGATAATAATTCGAAGCACATGCCTTCCGCTAACAGAGTTCGTGTGTAGGTATTACAATCGGATTAATCTCACAACATTGAATTTACACAATTATGTACACGTCATTTAACTGCATATAAACGTACAAAAGGGGTTTAAAACTAATAAATCGAATCATTTGGTAAATCGTATTTCGGTGCATCTTACGGGTGGGGGGTGGGATGGTGGGATCTGAGTGGTTGGAGGAACGCGTACGATCGTCGCCATTTTCTCGACGGTCGTGTTATACACATTGTTACGCACACATAATCACGGTTCGCAGTGGCGAATCGCTCGATTTCTCACGGACTTACGCAAAATAACGCACCTTGTATTCTTTTTCGGAAAAATCCGCTGTCAACAACGTAAATTATCGATCTCGCTTTCAAAATTCGCTGTCACTTAAACCGTTACAGATACCTGTTGTACATCTACATATACGTATGCTCGGATGCTGGTTAATTAATCGTAGAATGATTGGTGTCTTGACCTATTCTGACTTGGACTGTTCAAAAAACCGTGCACAGATGTACGATCACCCCGACGGTGATCAATAATCAAAGAGGAAAATCTGTCGGCAATAACTCAAGCACCAGCATTTTTACAAAAGTGAGACCCTCGAGTGTACGGAGAATCGTTGGTAAACACATCGTCTATTCGATATCGTGTGTTCAGAACGAAAATGAACGCAGGAGACTTTTTTCAAAAAAAACATCGAACATCGCGAACAAAATTCTGCGACATTCATCGGCGTACGAATGCTCTGACAAAAGTACGATTTTCTTCGGATACCAATATGGCGTCTCGCTCTTCGAACAAATTCTCCTGGTCCGCGAACATTTCGCCGAACTTGTTGCGAAATTCGGACGCGTCCGAAACGATTCGTTGAATTTTCGGGATAAATCAGCTGTAACGTTGCAGGAACATCGATATTCGTCCCTACCGGATCTCGGCCGAAGCAAACCGAGCGAGCAGTCGGACATTCCTTTTCGGCGAAGCAACAGCGGGATCGTCGTGCCAAATTGGAAGTTTGCCGGGAATTAATCGCTAGGAAATAGTTTTTAAGTGTTATCGCGTGTCACTTGGCACGCGAGTAGTTTCGCCCGAATATGTAAATAGAATCTTTTAATTGGAATTCCTTCCAATTACTCCTGCCCTCCGCCGCGGCCAGGACGTCCTTCGTGACGAACGGCGCGCGACCGGCGGTCTATTATGCAAGAACCGAACGCGGGATCATATTTGTTTTTTCTCCGGGTGGCCGGGGTCGTTTAGCAAAATCAATTTCTCGGAGATTACGATCCGCCGGAAATACGCTCGGATTATGAATTCCACGCGATCCCGAACGATCCGCGTAAACACGGCAATTACAGAGATTATTTTCTTTCGACAAATACGCACGTCAGAGCATCGCGTATTTGTTGATCCTTAGCAACTCGACGTTTCTCGTAATGAAATCTTTCGCGTGCGTAATCGCACGGTTCGTCGCTGGCACGGTAAACAGAAAAATTCTGTTTGCGTTCGACGCGATTGATCGCGGATTTAAAACGTCCGTTTCGCGAGAAGAACAACGCTGCTTGCTCGGTTTGCTTCGACCTTTCGTTAATTTCGGTGTATCGTTCCCGTAGAATTTGTTTATTAACGATCGATCTGATCGCAAAAAGCGTCGGCGTTGTCCACGGTGCGACTTGCATTCTATATACATACCGTGATATATTCTGATATATTCTGTTTTCCGTTCATGTTCTAGAAACAATAGGTGTTTCGGAGAAGTAAACCGGTGTTCCGAGCATATAGAATCTAAGTGGCGAACACTATCGGGCTGTTTACGATCGTAAAAAGTAAGTTCGTTCGCAGAAATAAATTGGTAAGCCATGTGTGGACGAACGCCGCCGTGTTCGATCGTCGTGTACAGAGCGGTGTCAAACCGAGGAAACTAGAAATATGCGAACGATAAATTTGGCGATCGCATTCGTTACGATAAACGGCTCGAAATTATGACCGATTCCTTTGGTTCCTATATTGCGGTTCAATCATCGTAAAAGGTACCGGGTATCTGTTATATAATTTGTTCAAGGACACCGGTACCCGTCGAATCGATAACTCGCTGGTCGTTCGTTATTCGATAAATGAATAATGCGACCACGGTGTCCCGTTTCGAGAACGCTCGTAAACGAGTACGAACGTGTTATTGCTTTTAGAATTCCGTTGTTCTAAGTAACATTAATCGTTAGAGTTGATCTTCTCGTCTGCCCGTCAACCAAAGAAACGTGCGATTGGTACGGCGTTGATCGGTTGCGTTTCGCAATTAAAAAGGACGTAACGGCAATCGGGATCAATTGGAATCCGTGCGAGACCTTCGAGCTTCCCTTTACACGCGTCTCGCATTAATTACCCGCGATTACAGTTCGTGTCGATCGTTTCATGGTTCTCCGCAGTTTCGAAACGTTCGGACAAATTATGTTGTCGCGGAATTCTTCGATCGATTATCTCTGGCCATAATTATAGACTCGAAGCAACTTTGGCATTTTTAGTGGTGTTTAACAGTAGAATTACCGAGCCCTGAACGCGGCTAATGCATATTGTTTTATAACAGTGACAAGACTGGATTTATTTAAACTACTTACGATTTTAATTATAGTATATACTTGAATGTAGAATATCAATCATAGACAAAATTCTGACGAAATCACTTTCACAGTATCAATGATGATAGCAATGATAACAATGGCAAGACTGGATTTATTTCAACTATCTACGATTTTGATTATAATATATGCTTGAATGCAGAACATCAATCATATACAAAATTCTGATAAAATCATTTTCACAGTATCGAGGCTTGTAAAAGAAAAAAACATCAGAAACCAGTCATTTTGACTGATTTGATAGTTCTAGTGTTAAACAGAAGCTTAACAAAACATGATAATTGCATATTTCTGTATCAGAAACAATAGAAAATAGTCGTTTTGTTTTTTAATTCTTCTTTAAACGTCCTTGCAAATGTAAAGGGTGCTTCGAATCTATAATTATTCGCACCACCGTACATGTACCGAACATTTGCAACTGCGAGACGATATTTCGCGGGTTGAGAAATGCGAAATATTTTCCGCAACGTGTTCGACGTGGGGTTTCTTCAAAGAAATTTGGAAACAGGGAACACAAAGCAGCAAACTCGCAGGAAGCTCGGATGCCCGGACACGTATATTCCCGAC